TTCAAAGGAAAAAGCATCATGTTCGTCGGAGACTCTCTAAGCAGAAACCAATGGCAGTCACTGGTGTGCATGCTTTATACTGCAGTGCCCAGACCCAAATTCAATCTCACCAGACAAGCCGATATCTCCTCCTCACGTTCACGGTACGCTTCAACCATTTAAAATGCACACGTATCAACTTCCGCTGCTATTCATTGTGTAGGTGGGTGAAGTGTCCATTAGCTAGCCTAGCGGGCCATGGCCCAGCCCGGATCCTCACATTAAGATTCGTGGATAGCCTATATCCACCGGGTAACGTCTAAGTTGCCTCTACATAAGAATATGCCTTTCAAGGGCTTGATCAAATTTGATTGAAAGGTGATCCGAATTCAATTCAATAATCTGACAAATTTTATTTTTGTGATTTATATTTAAATTTATTAATAATTCAGAATCCGATCTAAAATTTAATCCATTTGAATAACTTAATTAATTAAATTTTAATAAATTATATTTAAATTTTAACTAAAATTTTAAATAATCACGTAATTTTTTTAATATTTATATAAAAATATAAAAATATTTCAGATTGAATCATAATTAAATTGGATATTAGTATATTTAAATTTGAATCTGAATCTGTGAAATATAAGATATTGAATTTGATTCGGATTTAAGTTCAGATTTTCGGTAAACTTGTTACACTAATTCTCCAAATTAGGTCTCAATTGCTCAAAACTTATTAGGGCAACATACTAAATGGACCTAGGCATGTTCAATGCCATGTTAAACCTTAGTCAGACTTGTGGATTTCACTGGTAAGGATTCGGAAACAGATCAGATAATCCATTATGGGACCATTGCACAACTCTTTGTCTTGGTTTAACCAACCATTGTGGTCCTCTTACTCAGTCTATTTTCAGCTGACTTCAGTGATTTCAATACAAATAATTGCAGAGCAATATCCTCTAAAATGTAATCATCTTACTGTAAAATAGGTTACCATTATTAGACTTAAAGTAGTCATTTCAGAAGCTATCCAAAACTATGAAGATGTGATTTTATTAGGATTATATGTTTTTGATGCACATAAAAAGATAGAAAGTTTAGTGGCCCCTGTGCATATTACCTCATCAAATAATCCTTCTATTGGTTTATCATCTTGCAGGATTATGGAGTGAAAGTGATGCTTAATCGCAATGTGTTTTTAGTGGATGTAGTGAGGGATGACAAGGGCAGGGTCTTGAAACTTGACTCAATAGTGGGTGGCAAGCTATGGAAAGGGATTGACATGCTAATCTTCAACACTTGGCATTGGTGGAACCGCAGAGGAGTTGGACAACCGTTCGTTCACTTCAAACTAATCCTTCTTCTTTCCTTCTTCTTTTTATCATATTTTTTAAAATAAAATAAGGGGTCAGACATACTTGAACTTGTGATACCTAGATCACAATAGAGTAACGTTACCTCTGATGTTTTTTTCTTATTTCAGATGGGATTATATTCAAGTAGGGAATGAGACATACAAAGACATGGACCGAATGGCTGCTTTTGAGAGGGCACTCAATACTTAGGCTGGGTGGGTGGACTCTAATGTTAATTCTACCAGCACTAAGGTTTTCTTTCAAGGGATTTCTCCATCTCATTACAAGTAAGTGGTTTATTGGATTTATCTTGTGGGCAGTGGGTGTGTTCTAAAACTAGTCCAACTATTTTCAGTTATCTTCAAATTAGGCCCCATTCCTGTCCTTAATATTCGTCTCTTAAATGTGTAACCTATGAATTTTTGTCCACGACAAGCATATAAAAGAATGGATTGGCCAAGATTTGTTCACCCCATCGTAAAAATTTATAGGTTTCCATTGGTTATGGGACATATTAACATAGACCAATGCCTAGTAGAGAAAAACTGGATTTTCATTGAGCACATGTGATGGGACTTTTTTCAGACACACCAAGATGACGACACGTGTATTCAGCGCCAATGAAAACTCTCTGCTGTGATCCCGACACATCCTCGTCGGTCTATAACCCCTTCCCCCGAGAGGTACTATTCACAGGGATCAAGGAAGCCCAATACGCCATGGACTGACACGTATCCCTTGGGTAGCTGGGGTATATCGGTCCCTAATCATGCTAGTACCTCGGCACCAAGGTGTATCTATCCATGTGGGCGTTTTTGCTCCTACAGGGCTGTTGATTAACAGATTACTAGAATAGGCTAGGCTAGGCTAGACTAGCTATCATAACATCGCCTTAGTCAAATAGTGTCAGGAGGCACAAGAAAATAGAAGACTCAACCAAAGGGGAATGGGCACATGACACATTGTGTCAGGTTAGAGGTAAAAAGACCAGAATACCCTTGCTGACACACGACTTGGGAAGACAGACATTTAATGTATTTTTCCCTTGATGAGACAACATTTAATGTATAAGAGCCTGAAAATGAAAGGTAATAAATATTCCTATGCCTGGGCATTTAATACATTCCTGCCGAGAGAAGGTCATGAAACACTCGACAAATCGAGGAAAGAACATTGGTTGTTCGGGGTCCCAAAAAGTTAAGAATGAGGACATTTCTCATAGAAATTAGTGTGCACATTGTCCACCTCTAATGATTACCTACTAGCTACGCTGTCAGCAATAATGAGTTTTGTAAGGTATAAATAGTTCTCACAAACACATTAAAAAAGTACGCAAAAACCCTTTCTCAAGGATCATATAGTATTTTCTTCTTCTTCTCTCTCAAAGAACTGACTTGATCGTCGGAAGGGATACGCCGAAAAACACTCCAGTGCCCTTATAACCTGTTTTTCTCTGTTTCAGGAACCTCTCTTAGCCTCCCAGGATCAGTCAGGCGACCCATAAAAACAATCCATCATCACTTCATAGGCCACCTTCGCCCCTCACAACCTATTTCAAGTAGCAAGATCGACCACTCGATCGACGGATACGTGTTTACAACAGAAGAGATCTGTTATTGTGTTTATATGGTGCAAGAACGTGCACGCACAATCTGGCGCCGTCTGTGGGAAACGATTAGTTTTCCTAATTTTTTTTTAGAAAGAACAGTGACCATGGTGAATACTCGACAGAAAGGGAAAGTCCCCTAGCAAAGAAGTCTCGAGTTACAAGCTCCTCATTATGGTGGAGGGAGGGATCACGCTGGTGACAACATGAACGTTTTTATTCAATCAAAGGGGCATACTCCTCAAACCAGTGTGGACATTAGGTCAGGAGGATCTGCCCCCTTGGCTCATTAACTGGCGAAAATGATCGAAGAAAAGTTTGGAGATCGACTACGGCAGCTAGAAAAAGATAATGTGAATGTCCTAAGCCAGCTCAACGAATTTGTAACCCTTGACGAAGGATCAAGGGACTCATTTCGTTCCCGCGAACGCTCCGTCTGGGAAGCAGAAATCGAGGACCTGAAGAATCATTTAAACAACAAAGCTGAGAGTTCCAGGGTCCTAAAGCGCCCAAGAGCCAATGAGCACCCCTTCGATGGTCTTTCCAAGAAGGCAAGGCCTTTGGCTTGGGACAACCTTCAACGAGGACTGTCCGAGCGGGGGAAGAGGAACGAGTCCGAGGAGGATTCAACCCTTTTCACACGACGCCCGGAGAAGGGGAATCTCGTCAATGACCTTAGAAAACTCAGAGGACCTCCCCCTGAGGTGAAAACTGATCTCAAAGCTTGGCTGAAATCCAGAAGAAGGGGCAAGGCTGTACAGGATGACGCAGAAGACGAGGCCATGCAATCCCCTTTTACTAGGGATATCTGAGAGATAAAGATACCAAAGAAGTTTGTCGTGCCAAGGTTCAAAACTTATAATGGGCGATCTGATCCCGAAGCTCACCTCAGACAATACAAACAAATGATGTCCTTGTATCACTCGGACCAACGGCTTCTCTACCGAGTGTTCTCCATGAGTTTGGGTGATTCCGCTATAAAATGGTTCGAGACTCTTCCTCCCAATAACATTGGGTCATGGAAGGAGTTGACGAGACAGTTTTTAGCCCGATTCATTAGGGGGAATAAGCGGCCCAAAGATATTGGATCATTACTGACGCCCAGGCGGAAGGAATTAAAAACCCTTCGCCAATATGCCATCCGATACTAGGAGGAGGTCGATGAGATAGAGGGGTGTTCAGAAGTCATAGCAACCGCATCTTTTAGGCTTAGTTTGGCAAGGGACACGGACCTGTACTGATCCCTGACTAAGAAGACTCCCTTAGATATGGGCGAATTGATGGCCCGAATAAACAAATACTCTAGGATTGAAGAAGAAATGGGGGGCGACAAAGGCAAAACCCTCACCCCTAGGAGAAAAGAGAAGGAGAGGGAGGACACCTCCCGAAAGGGGCTGGTACCCCCTCCAGGAGGGTCATTTAAAGGTGTCCACACTGTGTTCAAAGAACCCATCTACAAGTTGCTTTATAAAATCAAGCATGAGTCATTCTTCAAGTGGTCGCCTTGGATGCAGAGCGATTCTTCCACCTGAGATCAAAAAGTCAACTGCTCCTATCACTGGGATTTTGGCCATCGCATCGAAGATTGCAGAGTGTACAAATCTTTCCTGGAAAGGCTAGTCTAGGACGATTACTTGAAAGAATACATCGAACCCAGGTCGGAAGAGGGACATGCTTCTGCCCCTGACCGTGGCACAAGACAACGTCATAGATGTGATCCACGTGTGTCCACTGGATCGTCCGACATCCAGGGAGCTTGAGTCTGATCTCAAAAGGGTAGCCTTTACGAGAAAGGTTATCGAGAGCGATGGGGGCCTACCTAGCAAGAGAGCCAGGACTAGCGAGCCGAGTATCACGTTCTCCGACGCGGACTTAATAGGCGTGGTAACCCCCCATAACGACGCCCTAATCATAACTCTGAAAATAGGCAAGTTCGACGTCAAGAGGGTGTTGGTAGATTTCGAGAGTTCCTCAGAGGTAATGTACTCCGAAACCTTAAAACGGATGGGCTTTGGCCTCAAGAACCTCACCAAGGTTAGGACGCCCCTCGTCGGATTTAACGGCTCATTTGCCCTGCCCATTGACAAAATTGCATTGTCAGTCGTCACGGGTCCCTTCACCATCAACACCGAGTTTGTTGTGATTGATATGGACTCCCCTACAATGTGATCATGGGGCAAGTTTAGTTGCATGCACTGGGGGCGGTGTACTCCACTTACCACCAGAAATTGAAGTTTGCTACACCAGAGGGGATAATGGAGATCCGAGGGGACCAAGCGTCCGTAAAAAATTATTTTTACTCGGCTGTGAGAGCGGAAATTTTCACCCAAGAGAAGGGACGCGCCCCGGAGAAAATCCTGAAAAAATAGCAATCACAGTCTGGGCGTCCATGAGTGGATGACCCCTGGACTGACCCGACGGACCGATCGGTAGAGGACCTCCGGAAGGTGTTCTTAGTAAATGGTGAAGAGGAAAGATACTTACTGATTGGCTCCGCAATGCCTATAGCCAAACAGAAAGAGATGATTGACTTTTTAAGGCAAAATACAGACGTGTTCACTTAGAATGCAATAGAAATGAAAGGGGTGGACCCTGAAGTAATCACGCATAAGTTACATGTTGACCCGACACACAAGCCAATAAAGCAGAAACCACGGCGCATAGCGCCACATCATGCTTGAGCAGTGAACGAGGAAGTCGATAAACTCCTGGAGGCCAATACCATCCGAGAGGTGCAGTTCTCAGAATGGTTATCAAACACAGTCTGTGCGAAAAAAAGGGGGAGAAATGGCGTGTCTGCGTAGACTTCACTGATTTGAACAAGGCATGTCCCAAGGACGACTACCCCCTATCAAAGGTGGACTAGTTAGTGGATGCCACTCCCGGGTATTAGCGCATGGGCTTCTTGGACGCCAGAGCAGGATATCATCAAATCCCTCTCCATTCCCCATATCAAGAAAAGACGGCATTCATCACTCCGAGAGGGGTTTACTGCTACAAAATCATGCCATTTGGGCTGAACAATGCCAGAGCTACGTACCAGAGGCTGATGAATCGGATGTTCAAAAGACAGATCGGCAACACCATGAAAGTTTATATCGATGATATGTTAGTTAAAAATAGAAGAAGTTGTGACCACCTGATGGATTTGGCCGATACATTCTCTACCCTCAGGGAGTATGAGCTGAAGCTAAATGGGCGAAGTGTATTTTCGGAGTGGAGTCAGGTAAATTCCTTGGATATCTGGTGATTCGGCGAGGAGTCGAAGCTAACCCGGATCAAATTCAAGTGATCCTGGACATCCGGAGTCCCCAAACGGTCCAAGAAGTCTAGAAGCTCACAAGGATGTTGGCAGCACTTAATCATTTTGTCTCACGCTCCTCGGACAAATGTAAACCCTTCTTTGGGGCCATCAAGAAGGCCGGGAAGGATACATGGAGCCAAGAGTGTGAAGACACCCTGGCAGAAATCAAGGAATACCTCAAGGGGAAATGCTCTTCCTGTACTTATTCGTATCAGAATTTGCCATTAATGGGGTACTCATTCGTGACCATGAGCACCACTAGAAGCCAGTATATTACGTAAGCAAAGCGCTACTGGACGC